TCAGATTTTGCTTTTGAAGTTGGCACTACAAGATCCATGGGAAATAGAATCAACTGAAATACTATTTAGTGAAGAAAAGTGCACTGTGCAAATATGATTTATTCTAACAATAACATATTGGGGACAGTACTACCATGAGTGTGAACATGGTCACCTGATGGTCCATATTATTTGTGTAAATTTTCTATACACAGATCCAAAACATTCACAGATGACATAGTTTCCACAGCCTCACACACACACCCTCCTTGTACCACAATATCAAACCACAAGAACAAATGATTTAATTTTAATCAACTGTTCTCCCTACTTTTTAGGATGGCTGCTGTGTTTCTAAAGTCAATAATATTACAAACCATAAGGACTGAAAATAACTGTCTTAGAAGATGTTTGGGTAAATACATCGTGCAAAAGATGGCACTAGCACAATTGCCCCTTCCTGCTTCTGTCCCAAGACTGTCCTATCTAATTCATGCAAAAGCTTTTAGTACTGTTGAAGACTCCCAGCATGAAAGAAAAAAGAGAAAAAATAATGAAACTGATTTTAGTAACATTGGAAGAAAAATCAGTGAGCGAATCATTCATGTATTTGATGAGAAGGGCAATGATTTGGGGAACATGCACCGAGCAGACGTGATTCGACTTATGGACGAGCGAGATCTGCGACTTGTGAAAAGGAAGCCCAGCACAGACCCTCCCGAGTACCAGCTCATGACAGGCACACAGATTCACCAAGAGCGGCTGAGACTGAGAGAGAGGGAAAAGGCCAGACCTAAGACTGGTAGGTAGTTTGCTCTTTGCCCCTGAACTCCTTAAGACTATAATCAGCAGTTTCAATTGGGCGTTTGCTACAATGCCTGTGACTGTGGGTTGAAAAACGAAAATTCAGTTTCACCACTGTTTCCAATGCCTTTTTCATCCCTCATTTCTGTTCCTTTTTAAATTTCCCTTGTATCCTGTGTCGATCACCTTTTTATAACCTATGTAAAATGAGGAAAAACAAGGTAAACACCACCAAAATAATAGGAAATCTTTTCCCTTTGCTCTTAGCTTTGTCTCCTAATGCCCAGGCAGGCAGAGTAACTGATGGGTGTAATGTAATGAGACTCAGAAGAGATGGATTTCAAGTTCCTATTCCTCTCCTGAGCCACTCATTTACCCTCCTTTAAAAAAAAAAAAAAAAAATCTCATCTCAACGTGGAGGTGTTTGGCTAATTCCCCAGAGGCACTTTTTAAACTCAGAAGTGATTCACAGAGCATCTATGCCTGAGTATTTTGTTACAATACTGGTAGTAACACTCGTTTACATATTTTGCCAATCACCTTACAAGGCATTAATGTGGGTTTTTCATGACTTTTAATTATTACTGATCAGTATGAAAGGTTGTTCAATGGAAAAGGCACTGGAGTAGGGGTCAGAAGACTAAGTCCCAGTGAGGTTGTGTGTCTTAAAGTCACACGTAGTCTGTGGCTCAGTTTGTAACACCATACTTAACATGTTGCGGACCCGTAGTTTTATTGCTAGCTATACCCAGAGGCCAGATAAGTTTCTATTGAACGAGTACAAAAAATGTTTTACATAAATGTTAAAGGCACGCTTTAAAATTAAATACCCATTGCATTTTGAAGTTATTACATGTTCTTACAAGCTAATATCTTTTTAAAGAATTCTCGTGGTTGGCCATAAGCCTTAGAACAGAAAACACGAGAATTCTCGTGATCTGTCCGCAATGTTTAACAAGGATGCTGACTGGAAAACAAATTTTCAAAAGAGGCCAACGAGGAGCATAAGGTCATCAAACTATGTCTATGAAAAAAAATTGACAAGCTGGAGAAGACACCTCTCTGTGTTCAGAGATTGTCAAAGCCATGACTTTGTCCTGATAGGAAACTAGGACCAACTGATTATAGCTTTAAGGAAGCAAGAAGGTGTTAATAAAAGAACTCTTTTTTAGAATTACCTTTATTTTGGAAATTAGAAGCAGAAAAATAAACAACTCTTATCATACAAAATAAGCATTAACATTGTCATACTTCAGATTTCTTAAACAAAACATTACAGAAAAGTTGAAGTCCTGTGCTCCCTTCTCCTGTTCCATCCTTCTTCTCCAAAGGCCCCCACTCACTCTCATGGACTCGGGGTGTAGATCCAGTCCATGTTGTTAAACTCATTACAGATACAGTCACAAACAGTATATAGAATAATTTTGTATGCATAAAATTATAAAGGGCACACTATTGTTTTCAAGATGTTTATATAATAGCTATAGCTAAATATAGTTACCAAGTGACATTTCATCATAAGCATGTACTATAGCTTTGTTAGTCCACTTCCCTGGCCATTGGGCTTGCTTCTAGTTTTCATTATTACAAACAATGATTCTAGGCATGTATCAGTATCTCCTTGTGCATGCTCAATTCCTATGGGGCAAATCAGCATGCAGTATGTGAACATTTCTGTCCATTCTCACCCACACTCGGTACTGTCAGACTCTAATTTTTGTCATGCTTATGGGTGAGAAGCCATATCCTGTTTTAATTTGTAGTTCCTTTCACCATTTGAGTTTCCTCTTCTACAAATTGCCTATTCATATTCCTTTTTTCTGTCTTTGATGGTTTTTCTTCCTGATTTATAGGAACCTCTGTTCTGTATGAAGCAAAAACCTTATCCTAGTTAGATTTTTCACCCCCTGTCGAGGTCATAAACATATCCATTCTTTTCTCCTATTTGTATTAAAGTGTTTTTTTCCTACATTAAGATAGTACATATGGGGAGATTTTTGTATGGGTTAAAACCTAACTTTTCCTCCCATATGAAAACTCTCAATTGTCCGAATGCCTTTAATGAGTAGGCTGTTCCTTCCCTGTAAAATTATATGCCTTATATGCAAATTGGTCCCCTTGGGAGTTCGACTGGGAGACCGGGAATTTGATCGCTCGCTATGACGGGTGCTGACCACCACAGGGCGGCGCAGAATGAAGGAAGGCCCCAACTGGCAGCCAGAAGGCCCCAATCAGCCCTAATTGCCAGCCAGGCCTAGGGACCCTACCCATGCATGAATTTCATGCACTGGGCCTCTAGTTTTCTAATAATTGCGATTTCCAAAGTAGATTGAATGAATGAATGCAGGATACAGTCTGGATGATTCCACTGTAGCTAGGAGGGTATCACAGAAGAATAAGATGAGAATAGTATTTCCCAGATGGATCCACACCCAAAAGAAAAACAATAATTAAGTTTACTATAAAGTTAAGCTTGTTCCCTTTAAAGGACCATTCTTTTCATGTTCTTTCATCAAATGATGACAATAAATGGAGACATTTTATATTTAAATGCCCTTGACAGACAAAAAAAATGGTACCTGTATGTCAGACTCCTATTTTTAAAAAGTGTTTAATGGTCTGTGAAACTAGTCAGGTGAGAGGACTGTTAGGGCTGCTGTGGCAACCTAAGATTTTCTGAAGTATATGTGGTGAGGTTAGTCTAATAACAGGGTAATAAATGGTCCTAGCACCAAGTCTCACTGTTTCAAACTAGGACCTACTCTGACAAAGGAACTAATTTTTTCTTCAAATATCGGACAACATGATTTGGACACAAAGAGTAAACAGATTCAACAGTGGATTGAGAAAAAGTATAAAGTTCAAGTTACTATAAAGAAAGCAAAGAATGCAGAAGAGCCAGAAAATAAAATGGTAAGTAAAAACAGTAGTAACTGTTTTTTGTTTGCTGATCTAAATGTAAAAACAAAGTAACAGTAATTCTATTAGTGATAATAGCTTTCCAGTTTGTTTTTCAAAATGCAAGCATACTGTATATACATTACATTTTCCATTGTAGCATATTTTGCCATGTGAAAACATTCTACATCATAATTTAAAGGCTATATTACCCTATTTTATGAATTGTAGAATATCTAACATTTAAATAGGAAAACTAGAAACTTTATATTCATTTTTTAAAGTTTGTTTCCTCTTTATAAATGCCTATAAGAAGCATCATATTTAAAGGCAAATTGTCTTCAAGAAAGTGTGTATCTGTTTACAATCCAGGATAAGTTTATGGCATATCTATTTTGCTTTCTTTTTTAGTTAATCCTCACCCAAGGATATTTTTCCATTGATTTTTAGGGAGAGTGGGAGAGAAACATCGACGTGAGAGAAACACATTGATTGGTTGCCTCCTGCACGAACCTGGAATCAAACCCGGGACCCTTTGGTCCGCAGGCTGATGCTCTAGCCACTGAGCAAAATCGGCTCGGGCTCTATTTCGCTGTTAGAGTTAGTTATCAGCTAAAAGGCAGCATCAGCCCAGTGGTGGTCAGCCCTAGTTCCACGTTAGAATCACTTAAGCTAGGTCCCCAACCAACTGACCCAGAATCTCTAGAACCAGTGTATTTTTCTAATGCCCCAAGTGACTGTGAGTGAGTGTTGGAAACTGCACTGGGCTAACAATCTGGGGGATAGGTTGATACTCTGCCAATACCCAAACCCACTGCTTTATACTTGGTTTTGCAAGAAGACATAGCTTGGGGCCAAACATAGCCCCTCAGAGCATTGACAGAGTAGAGATTTCTTTAGTGCCTTAGTTTAGTTACATGGAGTTTGTATAACTTCCTGGTTACTGTACAGGTTTCAATCAGCTTAACTGGACATGATTTAGCTAATCACTTGAATAGCAATTCAAGAATTGGGTATTAGAAAATCAAAACACTGGTTTTAAGTTAAACTTTGGCTGTTTTCCCTTCTTAGGAGGAGCTATTTAATCAAATCCTCCAGACTATGCCTGGAATAGCAACCTTCTCATCCAGGCCACAACCTGTTAAAGGAGGAAAAGCTGTAATATGTGTTCTTCGTCATTTGAGCGAAAAGGAAGAAATTGCATATAGACAAAGTCAAGAGACCCAGGAAGGAAACCCTTTAAACAAAGAAAATGGAAACGACAAAAAATCAGATATTCTGCATCAGTGATTAAAGAAAAATGTGCTTCTGAGAGAAAATACAGGAATACCTCGTTTTATTGTGCTTCACTTTACAGTGTTTTACAGATGTTGCATTTTCCCCCAAAAATCAAAGGCAAGACCCTCCTCCACAAGCAAAGGCATTTCAACTTGCTTTATTGCACTACATGTTTTATTGCAGTGGTCTGGAACCACCAGTAAGGTCTGCCTGTAACTGAGCTGGCTGGTCTGTGGAGAACAATTGGATGTTTAGCTGAGGGTAAGTACCGCAACTGTTGAGAGCACTTTGTCCTCAGTGCAATTCAGCAACTCTCCAGTTTTAGGCAAAGATAAGCTGTGTTCTTGTTTCCCTTTAGGAGGAATGTATCCACTGAGACGGGAGGACAAACTCCGTTTTCCACGAGCCTGTTTTACCTTTGGAAACAAGGAAAACAATTAGAATTCAAAATAAAAATTACCTGAATTTTACAATAGTTGTACACCCTGATAGGTACACAACACTCCTTTATAAGAAAATAAATCCATCCAATTGCTTTCAATAGTGGTGCAGACTCACATAGTAATGAGAGTCAAAAATATTCTAAGTAGATTGCATCTGGCTTCAATCAGCAGTTCATGTTTTAAAAAGAGCTTGCCTAAGTCGTCTCAACTTACTTTGAGCTTCATTTTCTTTTTGTCAGGGTCATGCACAACAGCATGCCTAGTGAGACTCTGCTGCAATGAAAGAAAGAAAATGTTCTATTTTTAAAACATTGCCATTTGGTACCTATTAACATAAAAACTCCTGAATTATTTAAATGAATAGTCAGCTTCTTTCTGTTATGTTCTGTTGAGGGGTGTGGCCTCTACCTACAAGGAGGCCACGAGGATTCTTCCTCAAGTCCTAGACTGAGATCACCGCCTCTTCTAATAACCCAGGTTAGGAATTTATAATCTCGATCTCCTGTGGCTTCTTAGCTCTTCATAAGTAAGAGGTTGGGGAAAACCAGTTCCAAACTAAAGGAAGTTGGTTTAACTGAAGCTATGTCCACAGCATCCCCAAACCAATGGAGTATCTGGCCAAAGTCTTGCTGTTCTTGATGATAATGCCAACCACCAGCAGCTCCGAGTTGTGTTGTAATGGTTCAGACTTATGCTGAACCAGCCTCATTTCTCACTTCAGTCTTCATTGTAATTCATGGTTTAAGTGCTTGTAAGTGCACCAACCAGAGTGAGAGTCTGCAAAACCGCACAGGCCCCTCCATTTAGTGTCATGTTCCCAACCTCCTAGAATCATACCAAGATATACACTAGATAGATTCCCAAGTTCTATAGTCCCTCACTTCCCTTCTCAATCCCTGCATGATTGTGGTCTAAAAGGGTGTCTCCTAAGTGTTAGCAGCCTAAAAGGATACCTAAAATATCAGCATACTCTTATGAATAAGCATTTGGTACCATCAGCCACTGGTTCACAAATATAGCCCACATGAGAATCACCTAGATCAGCGGTCGCCAACCTTTCAGACCTCACAGACCACCAGTGGTCCGCAGACCACCGGATGGCAACCACTGCTCCAAAGGTTTCCTTAAACCAGCAGTCGCCAACCTTTCGGACCTCACAGACCACCAGTGGTTTGTGGACCATTGGTTGGCGACTGCTGACCTAGAGGGTTTGTGAAAAAGCATTCCTGGGCCCCTGACCCCCAAGTTTCTGATTCAGCAGGTCTAGAGTAGGGCATGTGGATAGGCATTTTTTGCAAGTTTTCAGGTGATGTTAGTACTCCCAGGCCAGGGCCACACTATGAGAACCACGTGGCATAGGGAGATCTGGCTGTACAGCAGACTTAGCTCAGAGCCACTCCGGTTAAGCAAGAATGGAAGGTCTTGGAGGCCTCTTCACCCGCCTTCCCACTGCAGGCCCTGGGGCACCATCCTGGAACCCAGGGCTCCTAGGAACCTGGCGGGAAGCCTTACCCTGGAAGGACTGCACCTGTGAGAGTGAGTACTTACTTTCATGGCAAAAGTTTTGCCGCAGCCAGCATGTTCACACACAAACGGACGCCTTTCCTCATGAAAGGAGAGAATATGGCTCTGGAGATTGAACACAGTTGTATAGGTTCTACCACAGCCTTCTCTTGGACATCGACACACATCCCTTTCTGGGTTATGTGTTTTCATATGTTGCTTCAGATAATCTTTGCGTTTAAATGTTTTCTGGCATACTTCACATATTATTTTCTCTGACAAAGTAGACAAAAAATTTTAATCAATTTTCCCAGATATTATCACATAGAAAACATTAATATCCAATTATATAGCATATTCAATACCTAAAACCTTATGATTTTACATAGGTCAGAAATTTCAGAGGAAACTAACTCCAGTTTTTATTGCTTAAATATTTTTCTCAAGTCTCCCAAGTTCTTATATTACATAAAGTCACTCTTGCCAAGGAGCAGGGGTCTCAGCAAGGTAGCTGTGGGCAAAGGGAGAAAATAAAATAGACCAGTTTCCTTCCTTGTTCTCAGTACACCTGGCATTCTTTCCCAAACTGTCCCACAGAACACCAGTACGTCCCCAGATTCTTTACTTGCGATAGCCTTTAAAGTGCTACATATGCAGAGTAGCTCAGAGAGACCCAGAATAGCTCTTCCTAAACCTGGGACCATAGGTCTCTATTCTCATTTGCCAAACAGCTGAAGTGCATAGCTCCTCACAAAACATCTATTATTTTTAAGTGCATATTTAATATTTCTCTCTTTAAAAGCACTAAATCAGTTCTAAAGGGGTAAATGGTTATACCAAGCCATTCATGTGTACCTTACCCCCCCCCCTTTTTTTTCCTTTTTAGAGAGAGAGGAAGGAAGAGAGATAAAGAGATAGAAACATCAGTAAGAGAGAAACATCATCAGTAGGCTGCCTCCTGCATGCCCCCTACTGGGGATTGAGCTTGCTTCGAAACCGGGCATGTGCCCTGACCCGGAATGGAACCGGTGACCTCCTGGTGCATAGGCTGATGCTCAACTGCTGAGCCACACCAGACAGGCTGCCTTACCTTTATGGGTTTCTCTCACATGTTTCAGGAGCTCTGTCCATGTTTTTGCCACAAAGGAACATTCTTTTTGACATTTATAGCCTATTAAAAAAAGATAGGTGTGTTGCCTTTTATGAATATTCAGTGTAAACATCAATCAAAATTAAAAAGGAAACCTACATGCATATGTAATGTTTCTTCTACCTTCCAATAGTATTCTATTCTGTTAGTCTCACGAGGTGACAGTAAAAACTGAGGTTGTATTTTACAGTGAAACCAAACAGTTACATATCAGGGTACTTCATGTAGGATACGAGCTTAGCAGACTTCATCAGGGTACTTCATGTAGGATATGAGCTCAGCAGACTATCATAAGGAAGAATGGACATATGAGCTTAGCAGACTTCATCAAGGTACTGCATGTAGGATACGAGCTTAGCCGACTTCTTTCCCTTTCCTGATGTTCTCAGTACGCGGACTCTACTGCACGTGGACGCCCAGCTGCTTTAGTTTCCCCCACCTCCATGGCTCATGGCCCCTCCACCCTCCCTGCCTTATGCTAGCCTCTCTTTTTCCTCAGCAAAAAAGGTGGTCCTTTGTCCTTGGCAAAACACCAACACTAAATCTCAGCAGTTATATGCCCACCCCGGCTTCCTCTAGTCTTACCATCTTGTAAGTTTCATATGGCAAAAAAAGAAGCAGGGTACAGCTAAGGAAGAAAAACCAGAATAACCAGAGAAAAAGACTATGAACAAAAACTGACATTTCGTAAAGCACCAGAATTGGATTAATCAGTCAATGTAACAGCTCCCCTGAGTTTTACCCAACTAAATAACAGATAGAAACAAAAGAATGAGGCTGCCTATCACTCTCTTGTTTAAAAAAAAAAAAATCCCATAAAGTCTAGGGCTTGGGAAGTTGGAATATAGATATCAAAAATCCTATATGGAAACATAACAGAGTCAAGTAGTCAGTTTAATCAAGTCTTTTAAAAAAAAAAGTTCCAATCTGATTGCTCCGAAAACTCCAAACTATTTTCTAAACCCTTTGAGCGCTCCTAGGAGAAGAGTGACACAGGAAATAAGTAGATGGGGTTAAAAACTACTATGAAGAAGCAACATCTTGGCTGGAGCACCTGCCTATCACAAGACAGCACAACCAGGCCCTTGTTCTGAACAATACAATATGGACTTAGAACAGTGACAGCGGAGGGGAAGAATGGACACAGCACACAGCACCTCTCTGGTCAAGAGTATAAAACCTGAACAAGCAGAATGGTGCCCTGCCTAGTTCTAAGTTGCTCAGTAGGATCATGGAATAGAGTAGAAAGCAGCAAGTACTCAAAGACTTATACACATTCATCCTATGTGTTGGTGTGTTAGTAAAGTGAATACTACAAAGAACCACGTACGCACCCTCATGGACCTTCCCGTGTCTCTTCAGCCTGCTGGGTGAAGCAAAGTGTTTCCCGCAGCCTTCATGAGTGCACCTGGGTTAACAAGACAGCAAGTATCAGCCAGTCTGTTTTCATAGAGAACTCCACTTAGGGTAAATAGTATTTTGTCCTATTTCTCCAACCAAAGTCTCCTCTTCCCACAACCAAACCAGTCATATAAATGAGACCCTCTCATAGTTAAAATTCAAATTACCTGACCAAACTTGGAGCAAAACAAACAGAAAAATGTCACATTACATTTTTTAGCTTCCGTGATCAAATTAAACACTTTTAAAAAAATATGTTTTTTTATTTCAGTGAGGAAGGGAAAGGGGGAGAGAGCTAGAAACATCAATGATGAGAATCATTGATTGGCTGCCTCCTGCACGCCCCTTACTGGTGATCGAGCCTGCAACCCGGGCATGTGCCCTTGAGCGGAATCAAACCCAGGACCCTTCAGTCTGCAGGCCGATGCTTTATCCACTAAGCCAAATCAGCTAGGGCTCAAATTAAACACTTCTATCTTTATACTTCTGAAAATATACTCCGTGTTTTCATGGTTACAAAAAAGATGGCTTAGGTCAACATTTAAACCATTCCAAATCATTTCTATCTAGTTTTTCCAACAGTGCTGCATGGGAATGGTGTAAAAACACAGCCATAGCTTCACAGCCGCTGGTGAGCAATGAAAAGGACATGCCATTTCGGCGTCACTGCCACCAGCAGCACCAGAAGCAGCAGACCTGAAGCACTGTGCCGGCAGCAGCGCCCAGGCAAAGGGCAGCCCTGTGTGAGCGGAGGAAGGCTGCGCCAGCACAGCAGTGCCCAGAGTCCATGCTCTTCAAGAGTGACCATCTGTGCAGGCAGGCGGATTCCTCAATGCCCTTGGCACATCTATTCTACTGTTTCCTGTCACTCTTTCTTCTTCCCCACGAAACCCTCTTTAATGCAGGCTAAGCCACACTGCTTTTGTTTTTTAGGAAAAGAATAGCTAGGGTCTTCATAATGACATGTCATATTATTGAACAGGCTCTATTTGAATAGATAAGTCATTTATTAATCTTCTCTTCAAGCTTAACCACAATTGTACTAATCTCACAAAGTATTCTGAAGTATATTAAATATTTCTTTTAGAGAAAAAAGCAAAATTGAACTTCTGGCATAGCCCAAAATATAAAGGGGCGTACAATCTACATGGTAACAGAAAAATATTAACAAATAAACTGTTTCAGAACATTTGTACCCAACCTTTACATTTCAGCTTATTCCCACCTGAAATGTGCAATGTGGATTTCCCCGGTAGAGTACCTACTTGAACAGTGGCTCATTGGTGTGCTGGCACTGATGGGTTTTCAGCTGCTGATGTTTCCTAAAGGTCTTCTTACAACCTTCAAAAGTGCACTGTTCAGTAAAGGTTTGTTAGTCTTGAAAAAAATCAAAGAACAGTTCATAACAATACTCAAATAAAAATATTGTGGAGATTATAAACTTGCTACTTTCACCCATTTAGTTACGGTAAAATTCTTTGTCAAGAAACTTTAAAGACAGACATTCTTTCATTTGGGGTAATCTACCAATAATATACTTTAATTAGCAAAATAATATTTGCTTTCAAAATAAAGCAGTTATTATGATAGCATGTGCGGGCTAAATCCAGATATTTGACAGACAAAATTTGGTTGATGGAATTTTTAGAAACAGACAATAAACATAAAAATATTCAGAGAATTTAAGCATAGAATATCATTCTTACTTACCACATATTGTTTTTGTTGATTTTCGTGTTTGTGTTCAAAATGTTTCTTCAAGTTTGATTTTGTGTTGAATTTTTGATCACAGCCACTAGCTGAACAACTAAGAAATTGCAAACCCAAATATTAACAAACTATGGGAAGAAAATTTTAAGATTTCATAAAAACTAATTATTCCAAAGTATCATATAAAATAGTCTTTAACAAATTCCAAAGTGTAGCCGGAACCGGTTTGGCTCAGTGGATAGAGCGTCGGCTTGCGGACTGAAAGGTCCCAGGTTCGATTCCGGTCAAGGGCATGTACCTGGGTTGCGGACACATCCCCAGTGGGAGGTGTGCAGGAGGCAGCTGATCGATGTTTCTCTCTCATCGATGTTTCTAACTCTCTATCTCTCTCCCTTCCTCTCTGTAAAAAATCAATAAAATATATTTAAAAAAAAAAAAAAAAAAATTCCAAAGTGTAAACCACACCATGTAGACCTCTCTGTTTTGATGTGATTATCATGTAACAAGATGTACTTCATGCGAGGCTTCTGAAATTAAGCACATGGCATCAGACTCCTGTGTAGACTGGGCAGAGGGAGGTGAAAAACATTAATTCCAAAGGCCTAGACCCTGTTTAGGCTTAAATGATGTTTAAGTCAAATTGTTCTCAGTCTAGAATGTGATAACCTAAATTTTGCTTGAAATGTCACTGTAAACTGCCTTTCCAAAAAGACCGCCCCCCCAAAAAAACTGATTTCAGCTTGTAGTTCAGAGATAACACAGAACTATACACCGTTATGCCCTGTGGCATAGCACCAGGCTGCTCAAGTTCTCTTAATGAGCATTTCTGTATCTTCGCCTTGAATTACTTAAATTCTTTGTGAAGTCTATTTTTAAAATATGTGATCTGTTTGTGATGAGTTTTCATCAGCCTGATGGATGAGGCAGGACTCCCTTTATAAGCCCTAATCATAGCTATCATTCACTGATAAACAATGAATAACACTCATCTGAAGCACTGTGCTATCCACAGGGCCAGGTGGAGAAGGACAGAGAATAACTGTGCAGTGACCACGAGAGATCCGCCCAGAAGCCCACCGGAAACACACAGAGGGGGCATTGTGGCAGAAACCACTCGAAGTTCCAACAAGTGTTCTTGACCTCAGGAACAGAATGCTGAGTAAATGACCAACATAAAGAGAGCATTTTCCAGCATCCCTTGCAATTAGGGGTGGCACCAGGCTAAGTTCTGGTCCATGTTGTTTAAATCCCACAAAGTGTCTAAAAAGGGGGCACACCTCTTCTGCACCTCCCTCCATCCTGGTGGCTGCAATGCTTATGTGACAGCTGGAGCTCCAACAGGTATGTTGGACCATGATGCTGAAGCCACAAGATGAGGATGGCGGAGAGTTAGAAGGGGCTCAGATCCTAATGATTACAGATCATCCAGGGACTGTTTGTGCGTTTCAGTTATGCAAGAGAAAAAGAGACTATTTTGTTTAAGCCTCTATAGTGCTGGGTTTTCTGTCATTCCTGACTTTAAGCCTGGCCCAGGCATCTAACCTAACACAGGTGTGGGGCAGGATAGGGCCAGGAAAAGTTCTGACCAGAGCCAAACAGCAGGCACAGGGCCACTGAAGGCACTGACAACATTAGCAGGGTAAACAGGAGGAGGCTGCTGGTCAGTGAAGCATAGCTGGATCATAATTTCATGTCTGAAACTCAAGCAAATGAGTCAAGATAAGCCCAAAATGGCCAAATCACAAAGGCCATTTATATGACATGCTAAGAACCTGGACTTCATTATGTAGGCAGTGCTTAAAAACCACTGCACTATTTTAAGAAGGAAAGCAACCTGGAGGCTGATGTGGGAGAGGGCCAGTGATGCCAGTGAGGAGCAGGGCCTGAAATAAGATAGTGGCAGCTGGAGCAGGAGAGAGGGACGTGAGGGATCGGGAACAGGCCTGATGACCTATATGCTGGAGAGGAGAGCAGAACGAGGCGTCCAGAGGAGTTGCCTCCTCTTTGCTGTGAATCACTGGATAGACAGTGATGCCACCCACCTATCAAGAACAAGGGAGGAGAAGGCCAAGGAGAAAGCCAAGCTCAGAATGGACTTAGTGAATTTAGAAACCACAAAGACAGCTAAATAACACTGTCCAGCCAGCAGCTGGCTATGGGGACCTGGAGCTAACGAGAGAGTGGTCTGGGCTAGAGGGAAAGCTGGGAGACAGCACATTGTTCCAGCAGGAGTAATCCTCACTTTTCTCATTCTTCCTGTGCATCTGTACCCAGACCCACTTTTTCCTTTCATTGTATGTAACAGTGGGACCCGGATACATAATGTTTCCTTCCACCCCTGCCCCTACTCACCCAGTATTCTCCACGGACTCCCAAGGCGAGTGACATGTTTAGTTTTATGTAACTTTCAGCGTTTCTTATACATATACATGCAAATATAACTATAGGTTCTTCCTGTCTACTCCCCTCCCTTTTTATACACAAAAAGGTAACCCTTTATTTGCTTGGCTTTTCACTTAATATGCCTTAGAGATTTCCCTAGTTTCATAGGGAACATCTGCATTAATTTTTCTAGCTGTATAGTATTCCACTATGGTGACACACTTTAACCCTCCTAATGGGCACATGGGTTGATGCCAATGCTTTACTACTACTAATAATGCTGCACATGACCGTGTACATGCCTTCAACATAGGAACAAGTGTATTTGTAGAATAAATTCCCCAAAGTGAAACTTCTAGGACAGAGACTATATTCCAGCCCTATTTTCCAAATCACCTTAGTTACTCTTTGCTGGTGTAGTTGAACTATATTTTGAAATAATAAGCTTCACTTAGTGTCATTGATTTTGAGGACACTGTGTGCTTGAACAGGGACTGAAACAGACATCTGCTGTCCTCAGCACTTTGCCTCTTTCCCTCTGGCTGGTGCGCCGTCAGAGGGAGAGGAGATGGCCTTCCATAAGGAACACAACAGTGAAGGCTGTCCTGTGTCACAGCTCACTTTCTTCAGACTGTGTGGACCTCAGTGACATGGGACCCTTCGCATTCATCAGCTTAGAACTAATAGAAATCAACTCAGGTCATTAGAAAACTCTACTGCTCCAGGAACTGTCTCATAGAACAAAATTATGATCTTAAATCCTAACATCTAAAAAACCTGCCATATAGCTATTTCCTGATATAGTCTCCAACACATAGTTCTGAACAGCTATTAGATTTATTTTTTTATTTTGTTTCCAAGAAAAATTTAATGTTTTCCTGGAACATGTGTAATGGTTCTAAGTGTGGTTGCCTGACCAGCAGCAGCAATACCACCCAGGAACTTGCAAGAAATGCAAATTCTCAGGCCCCACCCTAGACCTACTGAATGAGATGCTCTGGGGTGGGGTTTAGCAAGCTGTTTTAAGAGCCTCCAAGTGATTCTGATGCACCCTAAATTTGAGGTCCACTGCTTAAAGAAATATAGATTTAAAAGAAAAACTGTATCTTTACCCTTTCAGATAAATAAACAGCAACTCCAAGAAGAATAAAATTTAAAACTGGTATGATAGAGGTGCAGAGGCTTAACCCAAAGAAATACAAGATGAACTCTTAAAAGCTCGACTTCTTCATGCTTTTACCTCTTATCCCAGCAGCGTATCAATTCAGAAAGACCCTGACAATGGAGAGTCAGTAACCTGCCAAGCAATCAGTTTCCATCTGGTCTAAACTGGGTGTGTTTCATGTTTGATTTCCCATTTAGTAGACACTTTAAAGGAGATGAGAGGATGCAGATGCAAGAGAACTTCAGATTAACTTGTTCCTGAAGTTATTAACACAAATTACCCACAAAACCCCTACTCCATTCCACACATTTGGTCTCCCCTCTTATGTCAGGAGATGCAAATGAAGCTTCACATTCTCTTGATCCTGAGGTAACAATCAGTTTTCTTACCAGGTCAATGTACCATACAACCATTTCAGAGCTTCAACCCAGTTCTCTACTTACACAAAAGGCTTTTCTCCAGTGTGAAGCAGGGCATGGCGGCTCAGGTGGTAGTCCCTGATGAAGGCTTTGCCACACCCTTCATAGTCACAAACAAATGGTCTCTAGCAGGGAGGAAAGGAAAAAAAAAGTGTCAATTCTGCCCACATTAGTAACTCCAGTATTATTTAAAGGCCTCAAATGTCTAGTAGGCAAGGCCATGGGCTCTGTCTCTACAGATGGTTTTCACTAGGTATTGAGCAGCTGCTACACCAAGTCAGACAAGGTTGTCCTGCATGAAGTTACCCATCAATGTCACCACTTCTCAACAAAGTCACTGCAGCAGACCTTGCTCTATGAATAGCATATGCAATAAGCGGGCAGCCCTCACAGTTGGTTAATCTGCTCCTAACCTGACACCTGGCTTTAAGTGCAACCCCCTCTTAAGATTACTTGCCTATTAGCATGGCCTATGTACACAGATCTCCACCACAGCATGTGTATACCCATCCAAAGGCTAGGGAAGAAGAATGTGCAGGTTCTGGCTAATTCTGGACAAGCCCAGTGTCTGTGCTACGGAACAGATCCACAGAACTTTGCAAAACTGTCATGGATTAGGCTCAATCAATATTTTTCAAATTAACGTGTGAGATTTGGGACAACAAAGATGACTTCAAGTTTTCCTGTATGAAGGAAGCTGGTGGTCCCAATAGCCAAAATAAGACACAAGTCTTAAATTAAAGGTAAAGTCTAATTTAGATTAGACTTTAGGAGGGATAGGATGGGTAAGAGGAAGATCAGGAGGCAAAGGATCAAGAATGTTACAAGTGAACCCAGTCACTGGGTAGGCCTGCCAAGAGAAGAGTAGAGGCAGAAGATAAGCCAGTGAAAAGGGTCCGAGGAAGAGGACTGGAGGAGAAGGTCCCAAGAAGGAAATGGTCAGCCTCTAAATGCTGGAGATGGTAAGGAGAATGGGTGTCATTAGAGGAGTGGCCCCTAAGTTCGGTAGGTGCTAGAAGCAAAGGCAGCGACTGCAGGCCTCTAACTTAAGAAATTAAGGACCTTTAGCTGAGGCATTGCGAAGCCAGGCTCTGCCAAAAACTGGGAAATGGGCCGATTCCTTGGCCTCCGTGAGCTCCACTTCCTTCAGCTGTCTTCCTCCAAAATAGTCCCATTGCCCTCCAAGTAAAACCCACACTCCAAACCCATCTGTAGCCTGGCCTACAAATGATCCTGGTTCTCGGGGCTTCTCTTGTAGGGTCCCACCCAATAACACTGGCCTGCCTTCCCCACCCCCACCCCCAGCACCACAGGCTCTCCCTGCAGTTTTCTTGGCCCAGACGGTTTTCCCCTGAACTGGCTGCATGGCTGGATCCTTTCCTTCCCAGTCAGGACAAGAGGCCCTTCCTAAGCACCCTCCAGCAGCCCTCGACTTACTGCGTCTCACACCTACCTACTCCTTTATCTGTCTGTCCTGCTTAAAGCATAAGGCCGGTGACCACGGAAGCCTTGCCTGTTTTGTTCACTGCTCTCTCTCTCCAAGGCTAGGCTGGTACTGTGTTTTGAAAGAATGACTGCACGCTGCTTGCTAAACCTCCAGTACTTGCAGATTATCGTCCTCACAAGTTCTGGGAGAGAAGTGCTTAACGCAGGTGCCTGTGGAATGAGTCGTGCAGTCTTTACAGATGGCCGGGAGGTGGTGATTGGCCAAGACTCAGGGTGACAGAAGGGGAAAGTTTGCTCTGCAAACCCCGGAGCCCACGGCAAGGATACCTGGGTGCTGGAACGTCTTGTCTACCTCCTCAGCTCCTTCCCTCACCTAAGGCAGGTTGACTAGCTTCTGCGGCCCACGTGCCAGCGCTGAACACGTCTGGCAAAGCCAGGCCAGCGCCCACGCGCGCGGGCCCACCGGCGGGCCATGTCACCAGTCCCCGGGCCTGACGCCCGGTCCCTCGGGCCCCGCCTTCGGACCCTTTACCTCCCCCGTGTGCTTGCACAGGTGCGCGTCTAACTTCCAGGCCTTGTTGTAACCGGCGCTGCAATCCGGGAAGGAGCAGATGAACCTCCTAGGGAGCGCGGGGAGCGGCGGGGCGGGGCTCTCGCCGGCCCTGACGAACGCGTCGGCGATGGTCAGGGATGAAACCGCCGCGGCGACCGACGCCGGCGGCTCCAGGGCGCCCAGGGCCGGGCGCTCAGCCACGTGCCGAGCCACGTGCGGGAACGGAGGGCGCGGCGCCCGCCCGGCCAAGCGCCTGCGGCCGCCGCAGAACCTCCGCCGGCCTCGGCGCACTTCCGGGAGGGCGGCACCTTCCCAGCCCCGAGGGGCGGGACTGGGGCGCAGGCGCGTGCAGCAGGCTCCGCCCCCGCGGGCGCCGGGTTCGCGCCCGGAAAGCCCGGCTGCGGCCCTCCTGTTCTAGGCTTCCTCCTCCATCTGTTCTCAGCAGACTGTGCGGCACGGATCAAATGCGACGTGTTTCCCATCCGCCACCACCCTATTCAAAGCACTAACCTTGCAAAATGTAAAGTAGCCTGTCCTTACCACGTGACCAGTTTGTCCTCTTTATGGATTCATTGCCTTGCCTGCCATCACCATGCTGCCTCGGTAAACCCCAGCACAGTGCTTCCTAAACTCGGCTGCAGGCTAGAAGCACATGGAGATCTTTTAAAACTCCTAACCCCGGACCAATTAAATTACAATTTCTGGTGGTGGGAGACCAGCACCAGCACTTCAGAAACTCCCTGGGTGACTCCACTCCCCTTCCTTAGGGCCTTGCTGCTCAGTTGGGATCTGTGGACCCTCAGCATCATTAGAAACACCTCCCGTCTACTTGAATCAGAGAGATCGCCGGTGGTTTGACGACATTAACATTGAAAAGCACTAGACTGCAGTGGTTCTCAACCTTCCTAATGCCACGACCCTTTAATACAGTTCCTCATGTGGTGGTGACCCCCAATTTCATTGTACAAATTGAACATAATTAAAGCATAGTGATTAGTCACAAAAACAATATGTAATAATATGTGTTTTCCGATGGTCTTAGGCGATCCCTGTGAAAGGGTCGTTCCACCCCCAAAGGGTCGCGACCTACAGGTTGAGAACCGCTGCACTAGAGGCTTAAATGATGTTGTATATCTTGATTTATGGAGACCACGTGTTTATTGTCCTTGAGTGAGAATAACATGATGGATGGCCTGATGTTCCGCCAGGTCTGTATTTTTCACCACCTGCATCATTCCAAATCATTATGCAAGCCCTTGTCTGAGTCCGATGAACAGGTTCCAACAGAGACCAAGTCAGTGTCCAGCAGTCAGCCCTGACCGGGACTCTTACATCATGCTCAGTCCTGAGCCTCAGTCTTCACATCTTTAAAGTGGAGATGATGCTAATAACACCTGTCACACGAGGACTGAGAGGGTGTCTGGGACATGGTCCACTTGTTGCTCTCCTCACGGGCCCCTCCAGCCCTCTCCAGGGCACAAGTCCACACGCATTCCTCCTACAGCTCTGGAAGTCTTACATAGTTTCCCTTGTGTTGAATATTTTCTCACCTTTATACTGGACTGTTAATACCCACCTGTTACAGTCATTTTTTGAATGAATGAGATTATATTTAATCTCTGCCCCCTGGGCTGGCACGTTTAACACTAACTTTTAGTTTTCCCAACAACTCTGCTTATAAAGCTGCTTATAGGATCCAGGCCAGGCCTTTTTTCCTTTTTCTTTCCTGTGAACTGATCCATTGCTCTACCTCTTTCCTCTTTTACTCCTCAATGTGTTTTCCCAGTGTCCCACATTTCTAAATGATGAGTAGATTTTTATTGTTATTTGAACATCATGCAGTGACCTCAAACACCACATAATTTGTAAGTCAAACAATCTCACCATCTCCATCTGGCTACACCTTCTCTCTCTCTGTCTCTCTCTCTCTTGCCCACCCTTCCCCTCTCCCTTCAGGCTTTATTTAGGCCCTCACAGTCTGATCATCCCTGCCTTTCTCTCCAGATCAGCTTCTTCTATAAGACACAGAGTTTCTGCCCTTGTGACTGTGATTTGCCAAGGGTTTGGGTCAACCCAAGCAGCCTGGACCTTCCATAATCTGGCTCCTTCACTCGCCCTGGCTAATGACTCCTGAAAGAGTCTTTGGCCCACCTGGGGCTCAGGCTCTTCCCCAAACAACCCAAACAGCTTCAGCCTAGAAGTGATAAGACTGTGGGTTTTGCCGAAACCGGTTTGGCTCAGTGGATAGAGCGTCGGCCTGCGGACTGAAGGGTCCCGGGTTCGATTCCGGTCAAGGGCATGTACCTTGGTTGCGGGCATATCCCCAATGGGAGATGTGCAAGAGGCAGCTGATCGATGTTTCTCTCTCATCGATGTTTCTAACTCTCTATCTCTCTCCCTTCCTCTCTGTAAAAAATCAATAAAATATATTTAAAAAAAAAAAAGACTGTGGTTTTTGTGGGTTAACCGTAACTCTGGTATGCCTGTTCCAGCTAGAAGATTGTGTCCACTTGCCTCAGCTTTGCACCTGCCCTTTTCCATGTAACTTTGTTCCTCCCATAAAGGAGACTGGAGATATTTTCTCTCTCCTTAACTCTAAGTTCAACTGTGTGACTTACTTTGGCCAGGCAAACAGTTTATTCTTGTATTATTTGTCATTGTATTATTTTCCATATGAACAACTGTAAACCTACTTTTGCCCCACCCTATATATATATTATGTATTATAGTATCTTCATTTTCTTTTTTAAAAATATATTTTATTGATTTTTCACAGAGAGGAAGGGAGAGGGATAGAGAGTTAGAAACATCGATGAGAGAGAAACATCGATTAGCTGCCTCCTGCACACTCCCTACTGGGTATGTGCCCTCAACCAAGGTACACGCCCTTGACTGGAATCGAACCTGGGACCCTTGAGTCCACAGGCCAACGCTCTATCCACTGAGCCAAACCGGTCAGGGCAGTATCTTCATTTTCTATTCTCACACCCAGTAAAATAAACAGTCGTTCCTTAAAACCATCTAATACCTAGAGACCCTCAAACTCAGCATATTTGAAACTGCTCTCCTCCTCCCCTCCTCCTCCACCAAGGTCTTCTTTTTCCAATGAGTGTGTTCACTGTCCACCCAGCTGACTGACCCCATGGCTTTTTTCTTCTCTCACCCGCTGCATTAATAAAATGTCCCATCACTGTTGGTTTTATCTCCCCATCTTCAGTTACACCCAACCAAGGCCCTGAACCTTCAAGTTTCCATGTTGTCTGTGATCCCTTCAGAAAAGGGGTGTCTGGGGATCAAATCAGTCTACTCCCCAACCATGTAGAGAATTCTGCTCAGAGGCCACGCTTCCCCAAACTGTCCCAGAGATCCCCAGTTCTCCCCCAGACCGTCTAACAATAACCAATATAGTATTAAAGAAAAAAAGTGTATATAGTAGCACGAGAAGGGAGAGCCCTGGGGTCAGGAAGGCACACTAAGAGACCATTATTGCCAGTAGAGTGGGAGGTCTGGGTTCGAGAGGATGACCATGAGACCAGAAGAGAGGAGGCAGGTAGGAGACATTCACCTGCACAGGTAAAAAGGTAATTCAGTGATGGAATAGTTAGAAGCATGGGCTCTATAGTTTGGCAGATCTACTTTGAATCCTGGCTCTACCATTTCCTTTTGACAAGGAAATAATATTTAGTCCCTCTAAACTTAGTGTTCTCTGTGTAATGGGGATGATACCTATGCCACAGGGTTGTTGTGAGAATTATATGAGACAATTAATTCATGTGAGATGCATAGCACATAATAAATAATTAAAAATGGTGGCCTTTATCCCCACTCCCCTCCCACTTGCTTCTGGCTTTCATTCCTAAACTAGAGTTGTGACTGACAGACTTCAAGGACGGCCCCCAGTAATCACTGTTTCCTGCTATTCATGTCCTTGTGTGATCACCCCTTTCCTTGGGTATGGACTGGGCCTTGTGAACTGCTTCTAACTAACAGAATGTGGCAAGGTGAGGGGATGTGCTGGAATGTGGAGTATTGGGACTTCCATCTTCCTAGTAGACTCTCCTCTGTTATCTTCTTGGCTTGTATACTTTGATGAAATGAGCTACCAGGTTGGCGAAGCCCGCCAGACAAAGAATTGAGGGTGGCCTCAGTCCAACAGCCACCTAGGACCTGAGGTCCTCCGTCCAGCAGGACTGAATAGGGACTGAATCCTGCCACAACCATGTGGCTTAGAAGCAGATTTTTCTTCAGTGGAGCCTTCAGATCAGATCCCAGCCCTGGCCGGCCTTCTCCTTCATTACAGCCTGGGAGAGACCCTGAAGCAGGGAACCCAGTTAAGCTATGCCCATATCCCTGACCCAAAAATTTGTGCACTGGTGGGGGAGGGGAGGTGGAGGGTGTCCCTCAGCCCCACTTGTGCCCTCTCACAGTCTGGGACCCCTCGGGAGATAACCACCTGCTGGCTTAGGCCTGCTCCCCGGGTAGCAGATGGCAGGCCTGATCCCTCGGTGCCTGCCCCACCTCCCCGGGTTGCGCACATGGCAGGGCCGAATTGGGGTTTGGGGCACTGCCCTGGGTCGGGTCGCACACAGGACGCCGCAGGCGGGCCGGCTTATCGCTGCTGCCCCGCCCAGCCACCCCAGGTCGGGTTGCACACGGGACGCTTGGGTGGGCCAGCCGATTGCTGCTGCTCCACCTGGCCGCTCCGGGTCTGGTCGCACACGGGACGCCGGGTGGGCTGGCTGATTGCTACTGCCCCGCCTGGCAGCCCCGGTCGGGTTGCACACGGGATGCCTGGATGGAGGCCGGTGGGCTGGCCGATCACTGCTGCACCACCCGGCCACCCCAGGTCGGGTCGCACATGAACGCCCGCCGCCCCAGGTCGCAAATAGCAGGCCCGGATGGTGGCAGGGCAGGCGGGATGGCACTGTCCCGCCCTGCCTGCAGTATGCAAATTAGCCGCCATCTTTGTTGGCGGTTAATTTGCATATTGTGCCGATTAGCCAATGGGAGGAGTAGCGAAGGTATGGTCAATTACCATGTTTATCTATTATTAGATAGGATATTAAATACATGTTGGTTTAAGCCACTAAGTTTGGTAATTTGTTATGTAGTATAACCAATACATAAAGTCAGTCTTTTATTACATAAAATAACGCCTGACCTGGTGGTCTAAACTCACACTAAAGAGAGAACATCTGAACAAAGAGGGTTCTGACAGGAGTGGGCCTCTGACTCAGCATCCAGCCATTATACAAGCTTCTTTCTAATAAAAAACCAGATTCATGGTGAGACCAGAATGAGCGTAGTTATGGTGATAATGGGACACATACTAGCAAACAGCTCGAATGTGGACTGCCCTGGCAGATCTCAATATATAGTTCCTTTAATTCCAATTTTACTCTAATCTTCTAATGTTTACTTCTCCCAGATAGGTCCAGCACAGCCAAGGTGGTTATATAAGACCATTGTCCTTGTGCTTGGCAAGGACCTGGGCATCATCCATGAAACACACCCATAACTTAAGCAGAACAACATGCTCTTCTTTTAGAGGTGTGCAGTAGGAAGACCTTTTGATTGGGTCCCAATTGCCACTAACTCCCTGAGTATGACTTTGGGCAACTCTTCCCAACCTGCTTTGCCTCGTCTGTAAAACAGAGGAGACCCTTCCTACCTCCCTCACAGAGTGGCTACATAAGAACTCAGCAGTTAACTTCTCTGTGCCTCAGTTTCTTCATCAGTCAACTGAAGACAACAGTACCTACCTCACAGGTTGTGAGGATTAAACAAGAAAATACATGTAGCCCTGCCTGGTGTGGCTCAGTTGGTTGGGCCTCATCCCCATGCACTGAAAGGTTGCAGGTTCGATTCCCATCTAATCAAGGTACATGCCTGCACTGTGGGCTCGATCCCCAGTAGGAGGTGTGCAGGAGGCAGCCAATTGATGTTTGGTTCTCACATCAATGTTTCTCATTCTACTTTTCCCTTTCTCTCTGTCTAAAAATCAATAAAAAAAAAAATCTTAAAAAAAAGAAAACATGTAAAGCACGTAGCAAAATGGGTGACTCAGAGGAATTGCTCAGTGGATGCCAGCTCTTGTCACCATTGTTACTATGATCTGTGCAGACACCTTTGTCAGTCATGAAGTGCTGTACATCTATTTGTAAATTATTACTGACACTAAGTTCTCAAATACTGGCTCAAACAAAGAGTGACTGAATGAGCTCTATTACATTGGTCAAGGTCAGCCCCAAATGAGCTAGAAGACCACAGTTAAGAAAAGTTCCCTCCACTTTGCCTCAGGATTGAGCAAGAGATTCCACCCCTCTGGCCACATCTATCCTATCTAATAATAGACAAATAGGGTGCTGAGGCTGGTTTGGCTCAGTGGATAGAGCGTCGGCCTGCGGACTGAGGGGTCCCAGGTTCGATTCCGGTCAAGGGCATGTACCTGGGTTGCTGGCATATCCCCAGTGGGAGATGTGCAGGAGGCAGCTGATCGATGTTTCTCTCTCATCGATGTTTCTGGCTCTCTATCTCTCTCCCTTCCTCTCTGTAAAAAATCAATAAAATATATTTTTTTAAAAAAATAGACAAATAGGGTAATTAACCGTACCTCCGACACGCTTTCCATTGGCTAATCAGGGCAATATGCAAATTAACTGCCAACCAAGATGGCGGTTAACCGTCAACAAAGATGGCGGTTAATTTGCATACATAGGCACCAAGCAATGGAGCGAAGCTGGCTGGCCCGGGACAGGAGCAGCGAGTGAAGGCAGGCGAGGTAAGCAAAGAGCAAAGAGGGGGACCCACACGCCACGGGCCGGGGGGCTTCTTAGCTAAGTGCCCTGGCCTGCAAGGCCCGCCCCCAGAAGCCTCAGCAGCCAGTCTTGCCT